GAGTTGTGCTGTGTGTGCTCTGTGGGCTGTGGGAACAATAAACAGAATATTCTACCCCGGCTAGCTACAATTCCTCTTTGAGTTTAGATAGTAACATTGAGTTCAACTGAAGTATTTTAGGAGCAGCAACTTCTAAAATTCCATTTCCACTGCATGTTTGGGCTGCAGGCTGACTGTTCCCAATGGATGTTAGTGATTAAATGTGATAGAAATGGAAAAGGAGAAGTCCAGAACAAGCAGTAGTAAGCCCTGAGCTGGCACTCAGAAGGAACCAGGGTTTTGTGCTGTTAGGAGCAGGTATTCTTTGGAAATGTCTAAATGTCTGATGGTGGTATTTTTCTTTGTGGCTTCCAGTACAAAACAGAGCGTGAGTGGATCCTCAGATTTCTTGGGGAAGGGCTGCGTGACAAACATTGCTATGAGCTTTATGACTACCAGAGGATTTTCCAGGTCATTCTTTCCTTTTTCAACAGTCCTTTGTGTGATGAGGGCTCCCAGGTAAGAATTGAAAAAGGAAATTCCAAAAAACCCCAAACCACAAAGGTTTGCATGGCTTCAAAATCTCAAGTACAAACCAGAAAGGAACAGCTGACTCTGCCTTTGCCCTCTTGAAAATCTGTTCCTTGTTTGTTTTGTGTATGTGTGGAGGGGGAAGTAATTGCTTGTGTCTGAATCAGTCCCATCCTTATCCCCTGAAACTGGAACAGGTGCCTGCCATCATGGAGCCTCATGTGGGTGTTGTGGTCTTGCTCCTACACTCGGGGCCTTTTCTTTTATTGGGGTCTCTGTTCCCCAGCCAGTGTATTTGTTACCTGAACAGTGCTTCAGCGGGAGGGAGACTCACGTGCCAGGAGCTCTCAGGTTTGGGAGCATCTACTCTTGAGTATTTCAGGTATCAAAACCTTGGACAAAAAGATAAAATTGTCTTCCTACCTGAATACTTCTTATAAGAGCAGCACCTGTGGTGTGAAGCTTTGAAGGGAGAATGTCTTTCCTTCCCTGGTGTTGCTGAGAACAGGTGGTGTTCATTTTACCTTGAAGTTGATCAGATAGCAGCCAAATTGCTAATTTTAAGTTAGATAATTAGAGCCTGATTGTAAAAGAATAAGTTCCATTTTCTGTTTCAGAGACGTATTCTGGAGATATTACAAAGTGCTGCCCGTGTCACCAGAGCTGCCTATGAGCTGGTACAGGATCACAGCCTCCTCACATGGGTCCTGCACAGCTTGGAGAAAAGGTAACCAGAGAAGTACAGGAGAGATGGGAACAATTTTCCTGTCCACAGTAGAAGAATTATGTAGCTCAGGATGAAACAAGGGTGACAGACATGGAGACAGGGGCACCAAGGGCTGTACTGGTGGAACTTGCTGAACTCTGAGGTGTCCCTTGTGCTTTTGAAAACAGAATCAAGATGCTTTCAGGTTGTGGTAGGAGGGATGATGGTGGGGGGCTTTGTGATTTGGAAATGGCTTCCTTGAAAACCTGAAAAAGCGAAATGGCACTTTGTGATGGTGTCTCTACCTTTTAAATTTCAAGCACCCTCTGTTCATATCCTGTCACAGGGCCTGCTGTACAGGAAGTGGCACAGTAATCTAGACAGATTTGAGCTGTCTAGAACATTTTCCCTCCCCTTGCCTCTCCCTCACAAAAAAAATCTCTTCTGTATACATAGAGTGCCCAAAAGTGCCCTAGAATATGGTCCCCTGTAGGTGATGGACCAGCTGCTGGTGAGGATCTGCCTTACAAATGGGGTTTTCTTTTTTTCGGTTTTTTTTTTTTTTTTTTTTTTTTTTTTTTTTTTTTGTTTTGTTTTGTTTTTTGGGTTTTTTTTTGTGGTCGGTTTTTTTTTGTTTTGTTTTGTTTTGTCTTTCAGGTTTCTGGAGAGCAAGGTGATAAATAAAGTTACTTCCTTAGTCCATACTCTGTGGTTAACAAATACAGGAGTCAAGAGAGAAAACAAGAATCAATCCCAGGAGAACAGGAAGCTTCTTCCTATTCAGCTTGTAAATGAATTTCTATGTGTTTTGGTCACATTAATCAAACATATTCGGTAAGTGCTCTGTTTTGTTTTTTGTTTTAGTTGGTTTGCATTTCATCCTCTGTCCAGTTTGAACTTTATTAAGGCCAGGAGGATTTCTTTATCTCTGCTAGATGGATGGCTTTTTTCACCTTCAGTTTGTGTGTTGAAATAGTGAATTTGGGTGAGATTTCTTTGACAGGAGAATTTAGGTGTTTGACTACATGGGGAATAAAGTAAAATGTGATGCACAGTTCCTGTCAAGTCCTTCGTCCCTAATTCCTGGCCATTCTGACAGTAGGGATTAGGAACTGTACTGGTGAATTAGCATGCATGGCACTTGTGTTTTCTTTTGACAGGACTAACGTAGATGTGGCCAAGCTGACTGAGTTGTTTGGCACCCTCAGCTCTGTGCTGGAATACCGTGCTGTTGTTGTGGAGGCTTTTAGGGAGATGAGGCGTTTCACGGTCAACGACAGCGTCCTCTCCAGCAGGGAGCTGCTGCTGCTGCTGCACAAGTGGAGCCTTGTCAGCAAAGACCTGCAGCTGCAGGAGGACCTGCAGGCCCTGGCTCAGAAGTACCAAAACAAAGAATTGCTCAGTAAGTGCTAAAATAGTTCAAGGAAGGCATATTTTGTTGTAGCTGTTACAGACCAGCAGTTCAAGTGAGGCAAACTTCTCTGGAAGTAGTCCTAATACCTTCTGTCAGACTGATGTACCTTGAGGGAGGAGGCAAGGAAAAGGAAAGGTGTTTTTCAGATCTTCCTTGTGGTGATTTTGAACCTTACCACAATTTGGAAGCTTTGGAGAAACACAGTTTATGAAGGGAAGGAGCTTTACAATGAAGCTTAGTAGCAAATCAGGCTTCGAGTCAAGCTTTGAAAAAGGGTATTTTTTAATGAAATCTATCTCGAGTCAGGCTTTGAAAAGGGGCATTTTTAAATGAAATCTTAAGAGAAAAAGCAGTGCACAGAGGCTTTGTGCTCAAAGGTGTGAATCATTCTGAGCATGGATGGGATCTGAAAACAATGTGTAAGTAAAAACAATAAATAAATAAAGCAAGCATAAGTTAATAGTTGGCATCTCTTGTTGTCACCAGTTTTGAAGAAAGGAAAAAAAGCCAGGACTTGTGTGACTTCTCTCGTTGTCTCTGTGAACAAAAAGTGCAAGGAACTTGGGAGTGGGATGTCTTAAAACAATGCTGGTTTCCTTCAGCAGCACCTGCTTTTGGTGCACATTAAAGCTTCTGTAGGTTTGTTTAAAATGTTCTGTATCAGTTGAGGAAGTATCATGTATTTAAGGGATTCTTTAAAAGCTTTAGCTTTTCTACCGTTTTTTCACCCTTTAAACTCCTCAGAAAGGCCTGAAGAGGGTTTTTGGAGTGATGCCTGTAACTTACTGCATGTGTAGGTTGTGTTGCTCCAGGCTTCAGGAGCTTCTCTCGTCTCCAGGCTGGGCAATCCGGTTTGGAACAGGATTCCAGCCTGGAGTCCCTGGGAGCTCCCAGAGCCCCTTTGAACAGCGCAGGCTCCATGAGGCTGCTAAACGAGGCTGGTACTTGCCATTGTAACGACTGAATCAACACAGGAGAGCACCATACTTGCACAATTTTGTACCAGGAAAATCCTTTGGAGTATCTGATGTTTGTTTTGGTGGTGGTTATCTTACAGAAAATATTAAAGACACGAACAGACCTCAAGGCTCATCTTACGTGTGTCGTCACACTCGGAAAAGGACCAAGGTGGAAGATGATGACCCTGCTGCAGACGTGCAAGTGTCTGAGCTGGAGAAATGCAGAGAACATCTGAATTCCATACTTGCCCATTGGGACCCTGTTTTCCCAGCACCACCCTCCACACAGGGAGGGGAGGCTCTCAGAGCCGGTGCACCTGGGGGTGAGGCAGTTCCTGTCACCTGTGCATCCATTCAAGTTGTCACTAAGTGGCTGGTGAGGTCCCTGGCTGGGCAGAGCTCCCTCGGGGAGCAGGACGTGTCCCCAGTGCTGAGGTGGCTGCGGAACCGCGTCCTGCCACACCCAGCGGCCGTGCGGGAGATGCTCAGGGACGAGATGCTGAGGAACAACCTCTTCAAGCTTTACACCCGGCTCTGCCAGGCCAGCAGCACCTCGGCTGGGCTCTCCAGGCAGCTGGGTGGGCTCAGCTCCATCATGCTCCAGCTCATGGAGGAGCAGGGCGTGTCCAGCACCTTCCAAGAGCTTGTGAAATCTCTGTGCCTATCAGCAACGGTGGAAGAGGATGGGGACAAGACAGGTGACTCATCTTGTTCTTATCATTCATGTTATGAGGCAGTGGTGGGAGAAACTAGGAAATTCCATGGCTTTTTAAATCCATTAAATCAGTTCTCCCATATCCACCCAGGCTCATGGCTTCCCAAAGCAGAAGCTGTGTCTTTGGTGGGATGGGGGCAGGGACTGGGGGATTAGGCAGCACAGAGCATAGTCACACTGGGAGGTTTTCTGACAC